TGGAAGCCAAAATTCCATTTTTTTTCCTCTGAGTAATACTCCATTGTGTAAATATACCACATTTTGTCTATCCATTCTTCAGTTGAGGGGTATCTAGGTTGCTTCCAGGTTCTAGCTATTACAAATAATGCTGCTATGAATACAGTTGAACAGATGTCCTTATATGAGGGGGAAGTCCTGTATATATGTCAATAAAGCATTGTTGCCCAATAGGTAAGCAAGATAGGTGGGACTAGGAGTTGAGGAGGATTCTGGGAAATAGAGACATAGGCAATCATGATGTAGCCACCATAGGAATAAGAGGTCCAGACCCTTTTCTCCAGTAAGAGAAATACTTAGATTAACAATCATGAGTTAAATACTTAAGTCAGAGATAGCCAGTAAGAAACCAAGCAAAAGGCCAACAGCTCCATAAGTAATATAGCGTCCTTTGTATTATTTGGGGACTGCAACTGTGGCAGGGCCCAGGTGGATGGCAGGGAAGGGAAGGCTGAACTCTACACTTATATGAATGTGCAACTTTTGGGTATATACCTAAGAGTAGAATTGCTGAATCTTGTGGTAGACTAATTCCCATTTTCCTGAGGAATCTCCATACTGATTTCCAAAGTGGCTGTATGTGTTGGCACTCCCACTAGTAGTGGAGGAGTGTTCCCCTTTCTCCACATCCTCTCCAGCATAAACTGTCATTGGAGTTTTTGATTTTAGCCATTCTGACAGGAGTGAGATGGTATCTCAGAGTTGTTCTGATTTACATTTCCCTGATGGCTAGGGATGTTGAGCACTTTCTTAAGTGTCTATCAGTCATTTTAGACTCCACTATTGAGAATTCTCTATCTAGTTCTGTACCCTACTTTTTAATTGGATCCTTTGGTGTTTTGGAGACTTGCTTCTTGATTTCTTTGTAAATTTTGGAGCTCAGCCCTCTGTCAGATGTGGGGTTAGTGACTATCTTTGCCCATTCTATGGGCTGCCTTTTTGTCTTGTTGACTGTATCTTTTGCCTTACAGAAACCTCTCCATTTCAGGAGGTCCCATTTATTAATTATCGATCTCAATGTCTGTGCTACTGGTGTTATTTTCAGGAAGCTGTCTCCTGCACCAATTCTTTTAAGGGTACCTCCCACTTTCTCTTCTAAGAGGTTCAGTGTAGCTGGATTTATGTGAAGGTCTGAATCTGGGGAAGAATAGAGGCAAGCAGGATGAGAGATACCATAATAGAGACAGTCATTATATGTTTGAGAAGAGATCTGGCACTAGTGAGATTCCAGAGACCTATAAGGATGATGCCAACTGGCAATATAAGAAATAGTGGAGAAGCTACCTTAAATGTCCTCCCCCTATAATGAGATTGATGACTACCTTATACACCATCTTAGAGCCTTCATCCAGTGGCTGATGGAAGCAGAGGCAGACACCCAAAGCTAAACACTGAATTGAACTGGATTCCAGTTGCAGAGAGGGAGGAGTAATGAGCAGAGGTCAAGATTGGGCTCATGAAACCTACAGAAACAGCTGACATGCACCAGGGGGAGCTCATAGAGCCCAGACTGCTGGCTGAGAGGTCAGCATGGGACTGACCCACCCCCCCTAAATTTGGGTGTCAATGAGAAGGCCTCAGCAATCAATGGGGCCTCAAGTATTTATCAGTATTTATTGCTGGCATCCAAATGGACTTTGGGAGCCCATTCCACATGGAGGGATGTTCTCTCAGCCTGGACACATGGGGGAAGGCCTAGGCCCTGCCCTGAATGACTTTGGATATCCCCCATAGAGGGCCTCACTCTCCCTGGGGAGCAGAATGGAGATTGAGGCTGGAGCTAGGGAGTTGGTGGGGGGTGAGGGAGAGGGACCTGGGAATGACATGTGAAGCAAGCTTGTTTCTAATTTAAATTAAAAAAAAGAGACACCATGAACATGGCAACTCTTATAATGAAAAGATTTAATTGAGGGGGCTTGCTTACCATTTCAGAGGTTCAGCCAATTATGGACATGTCAACATGCAAGCAGAGGAGACCTGGAGCTGAGACTACATATTGCAGGCAACAGGAAACCAACTGACACTCACACTGAGTGAAGCTTGAGAAAAAAAAACCTCAAACACATGCCCACAGTGATACACTTCTAACAGAAGGTGTGGCTCAGATTACAGGTGTGCCCTCCAGTCTCAGGGCCTGGATTAAAGGTCTCTGTCATCTATCCTCCTCCAATAGAACCACACTTCCATCAATAAGACCACCCCTCCTAATAGTGCTATTCTTTATGAGCTTATGGGGACCAACTACATTCAAACAGTTATACCTGGTAAGACGGGGTAAGAGTTGTCAGTAGGGAACTGAATACCAAAGTAGTGAAGCCAGGTGTTGGAAGGAACTGCTATGAGGTGAGACTGAACAGTGAGTACAGTCATATCCAGGGCCAGGAGGGCAGAAGGCATAAGGCACTAGAAACAGGCTTGGTGTGCACAAGAAGTCTGGACAGAGACATGGCTTTCACAGTTTAAACCCCTCTGTCACATATTAACAAACAGGTCAGACTCATGTTTACCCTCTATTTACCTTATTACCTATGTGGTGAAGTCATCCCTTAACCATACCTCTAGAGACTAGATGCTGAAAATTAGTATGGCATACAATTACTATGTATTTCTTGGGATATCTAAGGCCGATGGATACAATGTTGGGTACACATTTGCGGTCTTCCTCCTTGTAGGGAAAGGGGACCATCAAAGAAACACACCCTGAGCAGAGCCAAAGAAACACACTTTGGCCCTGCAACCAGAACTAAAGAAATGTACCCTGACCCTGAAACAAGTGCCAAAAGAATACACTTTGTCCCTGGAATCAGACTCAGTGAAAGAAATGCACCCTGGCCCTAAAATTGGAGCCAAAAGGCTAAGAAGGACCAGAGAAAGAAACACACTTTGGCCCTGAAACTGGAGCCAAATCTGACCCTAATCCTGTGCAGAAAAGTAACCAATCCTCGGACAGAGCTCTAGCCAATCTGAGCTCAGAACTGAAATCGGACCAATCCCTACCCTGGAAGCCCTATATAAACCCTGTGTCTGTTCAGCTTGTGTCTGTTCCCGCTGCCCGGCTGTCCTCTGTCACTCTGGCAGAGGGCAGCCACTCTCCTGGACTCTTCCCTCCCAATAAACCCCTTCAATGATCTTTGGGTGAAGAGCCTCTTTTGCGGCAGTGGTGACAGAGCAGAGGCAACCCTGGGCAGAGCAGAGAGAAAGCAGGGCTGTGACACTTTTGCCAGGGAAACCTTGCCTTGGCAGAGCAGAGCTGTTACCTCCACACCCTGCTCTCTTCTTTCTTCTCTCGGCTCTCAGGGAGCAGAGCGGAACTGTAGCAACTTCTCCGGAGAAAACTCCTGCAGAGCAAAACTGCTACACTGGGCGAACATCCCCAGTTGGAAGACCCTGTCCTGCAGGAGCAGAGCAGATACACTGGGGAAGCCTTTCCCGGGGGCAAGACTGTAAGCTGCTAAGCTTCCTACAACCTGTGGTGGTCCTTGGCTCCTGAGCTTCCAGGATACCTTTCCACCTAAGCTGTGTAACACTCAGTATCCTGTGACTCCTGAGTGCCAGAATACCTGACCCATCCCCATTCGATCGAAATGCCAACACTCCTGCCTTTCACTTTTCAATTTTTATTTAAAATTTGAATTTACCTACATTTCTCCCCTACCATGAAGAATGCCAATCACCACTATCTTCAAGAAGAAAATCACTTGGCAAATTAATATGCACACCTGGGTCAGCATTTTAACCTTTGGTGTTAATTAAGAAACATACACATATATCATTCTGATTGGTAGCTTTGGGTCAGGAAATCACTGTCTTATAATGACTGACATTCAAAAATCTAGCATGTAAATTATTTCAATTTGCATTTAAATATAAATGTGTGGCACACATTTAAATATATTTACATAATGTGTTTCAATATATTTACATTGAAATTCAGCTGGGAGTGAAATTTAAATGCATAAATTGCTGACATTTTTATTTTCCTGGCTTCGTTCTTTAGGAAAATCTCCATGTTAGTGTGAAATACAGAACTGTGTCTGTGAAGGCTAAAGCACACATAAGTAGGAAATGTTCTTACTGAGTTCACAGCTCCGACCTGCAAAGGTGCAAACATTTCAGAAAGGAGTGAGAAACAATTACAATATCAATCATCTTGTAATTTATCCTGGAGGCAAGAGGCTCAGAAATGGTACCTGGAACCTCTGGGAGCATATTCAATCATTGGATTAATAATTCCTAAGGCAAACACAAATGATTAAGCTAGACAAGCCATGTCCTATTGAGACAGGCATAGAAACAGAAGAACTTGTGTCACTTCAAGTGGGAAAATGGCGGGACCTTTTCTACTTGTGAGAATCTTGTTTGCTTTGGAAAAATGTAATCACTGCCTCTACAGATAAAATAATGTCAGAGATGAGCCTGTGTGTGTGTGTGTGTGTGTGTTGTCAGTCTGTATTAAAAGAACACAATGAAGACTAAATGCTTTACAGCAGTAACTGAACACAGAGCAGATGGTGGTAGCACAGAAATGAGTTTTCACTCGTTTAATCTAATCATTATCTTATGAGCCTAGTTTCCCTTTCAGAAAGAGAGTAGGCTGGATGATGTGGGTTATGATCAATAACTATTTTTCCTTTCTCATGTTTCCACTTCTAATGAGGACTATAAAGAAGATACTGGTATGCCTCCTACACTAACTCAGTAATGCTTCATTGTAATTTTCTCAGAGCTGTTTCTCAAACAATACACATTGACCTCTGAAGCTGGGAACAAGGAGGCCTCCTGGGGGGAACTATAAAGTAGGTGATTACAAGTGCACACAGCATCTTGTCACCTGCAGCAGAGCACCTCTGATGTACAATCACTCCCATCTTCCTATAACTGCCTGACTTCAACTAGGTACTGAGAAAATTACCTGGTGGTTCAAGATTAGAAAAGGCCATGCTTTAAAACAAACTACTCACCTTAACTGAGACATGCAGATAGATTTTCTGTGCCCCAATGTCCTCCTATTTAAAACAGAAAAAAAAATAGCATTTGCTGAACACAGGAGATTTAATTCCCCTAAATTGTTAGACATTATTACACCAAATTGTAGCAATTATCATATTATCAAGATAAAATGTATGTAAATTGTGTCAGGTAAAATAAAAGTTCCCTGTGTTTTGAACGACTGTAATTGGGATGCTAAACAAAGCTTAGGAAAACAGTAACAGGGAAGGAAGTAGAAGCCAGAGGCTACTTATTTTCAAGTCTTCCCAATAAGTACATAAGTTACTAAACAAGTAAATAATCTTCATTTCTCTTTCAAATTCAGTGCTTTGGATTAGTAGCTGCTATACTGAAAATTCAAATAAAACACCTGAAATGGTCACTTTTGGTAGCTGCAGTCTTGTTGGCATAATCTGCTTTGCTTTCTTCAAGTATTACTTAAAAGGGAGAGAATATACATTTAAAAGAATCAAATACATACAGGAGTTTTACTCAAGCAAATGTGCCCAAACTAGAGAAATCCATGTTAGGCATATTTGTAATATATATTCAGATTTTCAACACTTGCATCAACATTTTGGCTTTTTTTTTAACTTTTTAACTTTGTCAAGTAACAATCATTTCATTTCATAATTTAATGGCAATTCTTGATGCTAATTGTTCCATATTAATGTACTTATTAAAAATATTGTAGTCATTTAGGTGCTGTCAAATTCAGTCTTTAAAAAGAAGACATCTCTAGCCAGGCGGTGGTAGCGCACGCCTTTAATCCCAGCACTCGGGAGGCAGAGGCAGGTGGATCTCTGTGAGTTCGAGGCCTGGCTGGACCGATAGCCTCCGAAACAATACAGAGAAACCCTGTCTCGTAAAAACCAAAAAAAAAAAAAAAAAAAAGAAGACATCTCCAGAGGTCAGGCCATCATCCTGAATCCCAGGCAGAACTGTCCCCCACCCCATCTGTGCTGCCACAGCAAAACTCTAATAGCCCCTTCTCTCCTCAGTACCACATTCTCACCTACTCCTCTAGCAAAAGCCTCCTACTCCATCAGAGGCCAGGCCAGCTCCCTGAAAACCATGTAGACCAACACCTCCAACCACTCAGAGTAACCCAATGCCTCTTCCTCTCCTCTTCACCATATAATGGCCAATACCTCTGGTGGAAGCTCTTGCCATACCATAGGCCAGACCAGCTCCCTGAAAATTAGATAAGTCAATCCCCCAGCCCCACCTGTACCCAACCAACATAATCCCAACTTGCCCTCCTCTCCTTGTCACCGTGTCCTGAACCACACCTCTAGTGGGAGTCAGACTCTATCAAAGGCCAGGCAAGCATCTTGAACTCTAGAGGCCAGGCAAGTTGACTGAGAATTAGGCAGAAGGTTTATAACCCATCAGAAGCCTGTCCAGTATTCAGGAATCCCAGAGGACCCCTTCCCAGATCTGAGGCCATGGACATCACCAAAAATCCAGCCCTCTACTTAAGCATCAACCACCTACTGGACCACAGGCCATTCAGGCCATCAGAAGCCCAACCTCCAACTCAGGTGGAGATACTCTATTTAGCCATAGGCCACTCCAACCAAAAGACTAGAAAGGAAACAGGAACCAAGGAAGAAAACACCTATCCAACAAAGACAAACCCAAATATCAGCACCTAGACCTGTAATCACACCTAATCCAGATGCCAAAACATAAGTGTAAGCACACAGTAAACAACAGTCAGGGGCAATAAGATACCAACAGAGCCTAACCATCTCACTACAGTAAGCCCTGAGTATTCCAACACAGCTGAAGTCCAAGGAAACAATATTAAAACCAACCTTGTAATGATGATAGAGGTACTTAGAGGAAATGAATAAATTCCTCAAAGAAATCTAAGAGAAGAAAATAAAACATTTGGAGAAAATCAACAAATGCCTTGCAGAATATCAAGAAAGCCAAGAAAAAAAACAACAACAAACAAACAATTGAAGGCAATGAGTAAACTATTCAAGACCTGAAAATAGATATAGAAGCAATAAAAAAACTGAGAGAATTCTGGAAATGGAAAATCTAGGTAAGTGAACAGGAAGTACAGACACAAACATCACCAGCAGAATACAAGAGATGGGAGAAAGAATCTCAGGCATTGAAGACATGATAGAAGAAATAGATACATAGATCAAAGAAAATGTCAAATCTAAAAACATTCTGACACAAAATATCCAAGAAATCTGGGACACTAGGAAAAGACCAAACCTAAGAATAATAGGAATAGGAAAAGATTCCAAGCTCAAAGACCCAGAAACTAAGTTTAGCAAAATCATAGAAGGAAGTTTTGCTAAACTAAAGAAGGACATGCCTAAAAAGGTATAAGAAGCTCACAAAACAGCAAATAGATTGGACCAGAAAAGAAGGGCCCCTCACCAAAACACTAAACGCACAGAACTAAGAAATCATATTGAAAGCTGCAAGTAACTTCTCAGTGCAGACCTATTAGAATTACATCCGACTTCTCAATGAAGAATGTAAAAGCCAGAATGGCCTGGACAGATGTGATTCAGACTCTAAGAAACCACTGATGCAAAGCAAGCGAAGACCTGTATGACCAGAACTTTAAGGCTTGAATTAGAAACTAAGGAGATATCAGAAAATGGAAAGATCTTCCATGCACATCAGTGGGTAGGATTAACATAGTAAAAATGGCAATCTTATCTAAAACAATCTACAGATTCAATCCAATCCCCACCAAAAATCCCAACACAATTTTTTTCAAACCATGAAAGAGTAATACTCAACCTCATATGGATAAACCAAAAAAATTCATGGTATGTAAAACAATCCTGTACAACAAAAGAAATTCTGGAGATATCACCATTCCTGATTTCAAGTGCTACTACAGAGCTATAGTAACAAAAACAACATAGTACTGGCATGAAAACATACAGGTGAATCAATGAAATCAAATCAAAGACCCAGATGTAAGTTCACACACCTATGAACACCTGATTTTTGACAAAGAAATAAAAAGTATGCAAAGAAAAAAAAGAAAGCATCTTCAACAAGTGGTGCTGGTTATTCACATGTAGAAAAATGTAGAGCAATCCCTATCTAGCATCCTTAACAAAACTCAAGTCCAAGTTGACTCAAAGATCTAAATATAAACCCAGTTACACAAAACCTAATGGAAGAGAAAGTGAAAAATGGCCTTGAATGTATTGGCACAGGAGAAAGTTTCCTGAACAGAACACTAATAGCACAGGAACTAAGACTACAATCAATAATGGGACCTCATTAAACTGAAAAGTTTCTATAAGTCAAACAACGCTGTTAATAGAGTAAAATGGCAGCCTCCAGAATGGGAAAAGATCTTCACCAAACCCACATATGACAGAGGGCTAATTTCCAAAATATATAAAGAACTCAAGAAACGAGACATCTGAAAACCAAATAATCCCGTTAAAACTGGGGTATAAATCTAAATATATAATTCTCAAAAGGAGAATCTCAAATGGCCAAGAGACACTTAAAGAAGTGTTCAACATTCTGAGCCATTAGGGAAAAGCTAAAGAACTCTGATATTATTCCATCTTACACCTGTCAGAATGACTAAGATAAAAATCACATGTGACAAAGAAGATGGGGAGGATGTGGCACAAGAGGAACACTCTTCCATTCCTACTGGGAGTGCAAACTTGTACAGCTACCTCTGAAGTCAAAGTGGTGGTTTCTCAGAAAACTGGGAATCAACTTATCTCAAGACGCAGCTATACCACTCTTGGGCATATACCCAAAGGATGCTCCATTACACCAAAAAGTGTTCAACTGTGTTCATAGCAGCTTATTCATAATACCGAGAAACAACCTAGATGTCCCTCAATCAATGAATGGATAAAAAAATGTGGTACATTTATACAATGGAGAATTACTCAGCTGTTAAAAACAATGACATCTTGTTTTTTGCAAGCAAATGGATGGAACTCGAAACAATTATCTTGAGTGAAGTAACCCAGACCCAGAAAGACAAAAGCAGTATTTACTAACTTACAAGGGAATAACAGCTATGAAGTAAAGGATAGCCATACTACTATCCACAGACCTGGGGAAGCTAAGTACCAAGGAGGGCAAGAGGGGGGAAGCTTGGATCTCCCTGAGAAGAGGAATAGATTTTGCTGGTGAACTGGGGTAGGTGGGGATTCCCATCCAAAAGGGATCTGGGCAGAGGGGGAAGGGATCAGGTAGTGTACTGGAAAAGACAGTTGGAAAAGAGGGGCATTTTGGAGGTGAGGTAGAAACAGTGTAATGGGAACTCCCATCTACAAGGGTGACCCTAGCTGAGACACCTAGCAATAGGGGATCCATAGCCTGAAGTGGACATATTCTGTAGCCAGGCACAATTTCCACTGGAGGTATTGGTACTCAAAACCAGTCACATAAACTTTTACCTACAATTTGTCCTACCTAAAAGTATGGTGATATTTTGTGTATGATATAACAAATAAAGCTTACCTGAAGATCTGAGTGCAAAGCCAGCCATAGCCATAGAAGCCAGGCAGTGTTGGTACACACCTTTAATCCCAGCACTCGGAAGACAGAAGCAGATGGATCTCTGTTTGTTCAAGCCTACACTGAGCTACATGAAATTGATTCAGTCTAAAAGAAAAACAGCTCACACAAAGATGATCTCAGCACTTGGGATCCCATATCTAGAGATGAATGTAAGGCAGGAAGAGATAGGAGTTCAGTGAGTCTGAGCTTTGGTGGAGAGCAGTATATACAGCCTGAGGTTCAGTGTACCACACCTTCAGTCTGAGCATTAGTAGAGGTGAGAACTCTCTAGTAATGGCCTCTTTGCTTCCCTGATCTTCAGTTTTTATTCCAGTATCTGTCTCTGGGTTTTTATTAATCATGATACATACAAGATATGCTGAGGTGAAGGTACAGCAGAAATAGTCCAGAGAACTAGGATACAACCAAATACAACTGGCAAAAAAAGCCAATGTAATGATGCCCAATGATGTTGTGTTATGCTCATAGA